AAACCAGGTCCTGAATACGAGAGAGGGATTCCTCCCGGCGGTGTGGCCTCTTGGCACCTGTGGTATCCCAAGGGATACCCGGATACCCGCCAGTATTTCAGGGGGAAGGGTGCATCCGCACCCGAATCCGCACCCGCTGGCGGGTATCCGCTGGCACTGGCGGGTATCCGCCAGCGGATAGCGGATATCCGCGGCGGATTATCCGCGACCATCTCTAATAAAGGTTGAAATGAAATAGCACAGCAGAGAGGTCATGTAAGGATAAGATGGGTTTGTTTGTGAGAATTGAAACTGCACAAACAGAAAAGAGAACAAGGCAAAGATGAAGAAAGAGATAGGGAGAATGAGATACACTTGCTTAGGCTCAGCAGACAGATAATGGAATTATGAGGACTGCTGCTGGCCTAGTATCACTACATACAAGAGGAAGTTGTAGAAAAAAAAAGTGGAAGGTAGGAAAGCACACTAATTATAAAACAAATATTCCAGGAGAGAGAATTAGAGCTAGAACATGGCCGCACTTGAGTGGTAAAAAAAAACTCTAAATTACAGCTAGATCATGATAAATGTGATTTCATATTATCAACTTTGTCTCCTAGGGTTAGTTTTAGAAATTTGGCGGAGGTTCCATGAATCTAGAGTGCAAACTGAGTGATGTTTAGTAGTTAGCTCTGACAATCTAATTGTCACTCAAAGCCTTGTGAAGCCTGCACCTCTCTGCACAGGTTTTGCCAAGTAATAATAATAATCAATATTAGATAAACGCATATCTTTGACATCAGTCAACATCCTGGTCTCCCCTACCCCCCATCTACATAGCTCAGCAGAGATTCCTGACTGATTATCTACAGCCAGGTGAGGTACACCACTTCTTGCCATTACTCTTCTCTCCTTTTTCTGGTTCTCCCAAGCTGTAATAGAGTCTCACCTATTGTTGTCGTGCTGGTTCTTTTCATTGGACAGGGTCAACTGAAAGGTTGGCTCGAGTTCAAAGTGGGGTGGTGAACTTCAGTGGGAGGGGCTTAGTCCACCCAACATGCATATAGGATATTCAAAATCAAAAACTACTGTTTTTTTAAGAGCACAGCCTCCGATCACTTCCGATCCACTCAACCAGCTTGCAGCTTGTACCAACAACCACTCTTAACATCAAGTCCCCAAGGGTATGTGGAATTGACCTTTGGTTCGATTTCAGATTTACTCGCTTCTTGATGACTTTGTCTCTCCGCAACAGTCGTAACCTGATTGGATCCTTTTTTTTGTGGTGGTTCACAGCCAGAAACTTGAAACGCTCCGGAACGTTTTGCTTCGTTGGCATCTCATAGGCTTCAGACATCGATACAACTGTGACAATAGTGTGTATGTCTTTTTGTCTGCCTATCTGATGGTGATGATCGACTGCCGCACTTGTTTGCGACACGTTATTCTGCCTAACCCTTTTCTTGATCATTCCATCGCGACAACGGACGCTCCCCCACCCCCCCCCCCCCCCTCAACTCCTCCCGATATCTTCTTTTATTGACACTTGGATCGATGGCCGTCAATTAACTATACAGAGCAATCCATCCTCGTCAGGATGTCGGTTTTGTTCTTCATAGCTCTCAGGAGGAAAGTTAGAAAATTCATCAAAAAGATTAAGAAAATAAAAAGGCACAAAAGCCACCCACATAGCTAAAAGAAGTCGCCAGACTCACAGCTCTGAAATGGTAAAAAAACTCACCATACCAAGCTTTTCACTTTTCATTGCCTTTTTGTTGACTGATCTAATCATCTGAACACTGTACTTTTCCGATCAATAGATCTTTCCATGTTTGTAACAATAAAATGCAAAATTCAAAGATAAAAAGGGGTATGGGTTTATAGACCCGGTGTATAGGTTGCAACATATGTACTGGGAGGCGGCAACCACGGGACCTGAGCAACATAGAGCAGTGACCGACACATGTTGAGCTCACCAGACTAGAATCCCCATCGGGATTCCGATGGTCTTACAGTCAGGACCTGGAACTCGCAGGAGAGAGAAAAAAGACTGCGAGTGTAATCACAACAGATTGGTGTGCGATTGCGGATGGGCATACATGTCGCAGCATTCCTCCCAAGCTTGCATGTGCAGTCGGTAGATTCAAGCCCTGTGATGCTTAGGGCACCAGTCATGTCTCAAGCTCTCAGCCAACACAAAAACACTCTCTGGATTGTTCATCGGAAGATTGAAGCTAATTTGGCTTTGGTCATTAAAATGGCATTGCTCGAGAAAGAGGAACCAAATTGATGGGGTAAGAGGGGAATAGTTTCTGTGGGAACACAAGGGTGAAATCAGCTGAAGCCAAGCGGTCACCGAAGCTGATAGAAACTCACAGTCGAATAAGCCAAAGCCCATGTCGTCGTCTGATTCTTCCTTCTCTTCCTCTTTCTTCTTTTCCTCGGCCTTGGGGGCGGCGGCCTCACCACCTGAAGCGGCGGCAACAGCGGCAGCTGGGGCAGCAGCACCGCCTCCGGCACCAACGTTGGAGAGCATGTCCTTGACGTCCTTTCCTTCTAGAGCCTAAGGGGAATTGAGGGTCGTTTGAAGATTTAGTTCAACATTCATGGGTAAATTATTCAGCAAAAAAAAATCACTAACCTTGGCGAGAAGGGTAGCCCAGATGGGTTCGATTTCAACCTTGGCGGCAGACAACAAGGTGTTGATCTTGTCGGCAGTGATTTCCAGACCTTCATCGGCAAGGATGAGGGCGGCGTAGGTGGAAGCTAATTCGGCCATTGGAATGGGTAATATTCTGATCGGGCCCAAATGTCGAACGGCGGTCGTTAGCAGAGAAGAAGTGACACAAGTGACGGAACTTCGAGACCAGAAGGAACTTACCGATAGTGAAGATGGCGAGGAGCTGAAAGCCGATGATCGATTTAAGCCTGAGGCGGACCGTCGGTCTGTTCAATTCAACTGGTGGGTGAGAAGAGGTGCAGCTGAAGCGGAGTGCCGCGCGGTACAATCGGGACCGATTCCAGTCCGGGCGAGTGTCACCACGTTAGGTCTACAGACTATCCGCGAGCTCTGCACAGCCGAGGGGGGGCTCACTCTCATTGCAGCACGTCGCAGGAGGCTTGGTATACTTGTTGCTGCGAGCTGCGCGTTGTCAATGCATTTTTGCCCGATCATGTTGCACATCTCCCAGATAGCATCCGCATCCAACAGCCCTCCTACATACTTTTGGCGTCTTTCAACTAGCCCTTTTCATCGAACTTGACACAATTCTCGGCTGCAGCGGGCGCATCTGGCAGCGTAGCACTGGCTAGGCGGTTCCCAAAGGGAACTCCCCACAGGGGAGACTTGTGATCAATGTTGACAAGCTCCCGTGCTGAGTTTGTAGTAGTTTGGTGGGAGCATCACTAGTTTTGGAATCACAACACTCCCTCAAAACTTTAAGGATGTTTGGCCCAGAATTCTTGAAGGGCTACATGAACCTAATGAGGCAGCCAAAACTCAAAAGTTGTACATCACAACTGTAATTACAGCCAAACCGAGAAAGCTTGCGGTCTCGGTTGGCAAAAAAAAGAAAAACATTGCCAGCAGCTGGAATGTTTGGAAGACTACACCACCCTGTATGCCCACATACATACAGGGTTTACTCTTCATTTTAATTGCTATCTTTTTCATCTCTTGATTCTAGCTCATGAGGGTAAGAGCATTGGAATCCTGATAGCAATGTTGGTCTGGTCGGCCCATCATGTGATTGGTCCCCAGCCCCTGCCCCCCAGTAACTTGACCGGCCAGGCACCATTGACAATGCCTTCGAGCATTTGGTAGTCTGTACACTCACTGTATTATTTCAAATCTTCCAACTGCAGTCGCAGTTTTATTTTTTATTTTTTTAGAAATTCTGCCAACCGAGACCGCAAGCTTTCTTGGTTTGGCTGTAATAATGATTTTCAAAAATTAAGGTTTGAACTTTTTTGAGCTCAAAAGCAGGGTTTGCTCAACTTGGGCCTACCAAAAGAAGCCAAGTTGAGTTGAAAAGTCAACCTTTTCAAAAAAATTCTATAAATGATTAGCAAACATAACAGAAAAACTGAACACAGGGAAATATGAACATTGATAGAGATGTCATCAGGTACCCAATTCAGGGTACCTGGCACCTGTTTGAAGTACCTGTTTTCCAAACCAGGTACCTGGAAACAGGTGCTGGGTGCAGGTTTGGGTGTTGAAATTTGAGTTGAAATAAAAGGTGGGTACCCAGACCAGGTACCTGCCCTGATAATGTATCATAAGTGTCCTGTTCACCTGAGAATTTTCATCAACATCAATTGACTTGAGGAGAAATAAGATACCAAGTGTTTGATCATTGGTCCACAAACATACATGTATTCATACAGCTTTTGCAGACAAAAATACCTGGAATCTGTGGTGGTGTGAATGATATAGTTCATCAATGTATATGTGTGATTTGAATGTATAAAAGGGAGAGAAAGAGATTGGTCTGAAGGGATTGGAATGAGAAAAAAATGAATGTTCAAACAAAAAATAAGAGTAGAAGGAAGAAAGAAATTAAAGAAAGAAAGCAGCAAGGCTGAATGCAAATGGAGCTTTACAAAGAAAAAGTATGAGAGTTAGAAGAATTGGAAGAAGCCAAAGGTGATGAGGAGGAGGCAGAGGAGGACCGAGAAGATGAGGTGCAATAGAATATTTTTTTTTGTTTATTTCTATGTTACTCATATATCTAGTCAATTTCAGTCATATATTTAGTCCTGCAGCAATACAAGGGTGAGATTTCTGGGCTTATTTTCCAGCAAAAAAATCCTCAACACCCACAGGTACCCACCCCAGGTACCCGGGTACCTGACCTGGCAGTGAGAGTGTCCACAATATTGGATTTTTGAGGTGGGTACTGGCACCCGCTCTGGGTACATGGGTATGAAGTGACATCTCTAATGGACAAGAAGCAGGCCTCCCCTGTCCTGCAAGGAAATTACATGAATGTGAATGAGGGAGTGCTGAGAGTGGAAGGAACACAAAAATTGAGTTTTCAGCCCAATTCTGAAAACTCACCATGCGGGGATTTCCACATCTGTCAGGCTCGGCGATGCCAAGGCAATAGGCCTTCTAGCTACGTCGGCTGATGGGTGGTTTGGGTAAGCAAATGAGAGAGGAAAATACCGAGGGGCCCAGATCTTTGGGGGTTTTTACGGTGCCCTCGGGGATACAAGCCTAGGTCTCATATAAAGACTTGGTAGCGGCTACTACGGGGTCTCGAAGATACTTGAGGGTATTTGGTCCGCGTATCGGAGTGATGGACAGAGGAATAACCAATAAAGGTATTCCCTAGCAACAAATCCTGGCACTTACAGGGTGGATCTGTGGTGCTCTGAGTAGTGGAATGAGGGTTGGAAAAGGAGGCAAACTGGAAAAGGATGGGGAAAATTACTAAGCTGGTAAAACTGATGATTCCTAGCTGCTTTGTTTACTGGTTCTTTTTATACTTTAGGTACCAGTAACCAAAGCTGGAAAGGGAAAGGGAAGTTGACCTCACCGGTCATCTCTGAGAATCTGGGATGATGTATAATTTCCCAGAAGTTTTGACAGGGGAAATCTGCTCATCTCATGCCACAGTCTCCTGTCATGATGTATTTTAATATGTCACTAGTTTCTGTAAAGGACATTTTATGTCATTCTTATTTTTTGTAATATTATTTGATCATTAAATCTATTACTTATTATCTGGAGTTATTTATGGAAATATTGCAGGTCAGCTTGACTCTGTAATAGTAGCAAGCTGACATTTCCTACCCACAAAATTAAGTCCCCTTCAAAAAGGTATGGAAGACAAAGAATTAAATTGATGATAATATGAAAGTTTCCAAGAGGTTTCAGGATGGAAAATTGAATCATCAAGAGTAAAAAATAAATTCATCATGATGCTGAATCTAGTGGTTTACCAATTTACACATCAGCTTCAGACGACAAACTTCATACAAAGTACTATTTTATCGAGATTTATATTCAGTCACAGAGTTCCTTTGTATCATAAAGATCTTTCCAAATAACAACTATGAACCCTTGGATACCCCTGCCTATTGAATGAATTCTATTTGAACAAGCATTCCCGAGCTCACATGCCTAAAGCTCTCAAGTGTTAATATATGTTTGTATCATATATAAAATAATTGAACTGAAGCTAACTGTATGTCAAAACATATATTAATTGGGATCTTAGCATTACTTCTTTTTGTGCTCCTTATTCTTAATAGTTTTTTTCCTAAAGAAAATGCCACCACAATCTCAGTCAGAAGTTGTTATTTTGGTCTGTTCTTATTGATTTCATCCAGTTATAAGTGATGGTAGTCAAAGATCTTGTTGTGATTTTCTGATCATAATCAAGAATGCTTGTCTGCTTATAGCAGGGCTCCTCCTGCTGTTTTAGTTCCAGCCATTCACCTAATGTTTTAACATTTTCTTGCCCTACTGATTATCATTCAAACAAAATGTCATTCTTTTGCAATTCAGATTTAATTATTCAAATGCATCTTGACTCATTTTTATTTATTTACTTGTTTATTTTCTTGTTATATCCCTCTAAGTTTATATACTTCTTATAACCATCTTTTATCTAAGTCAGCTGGTTTCTGCCTTAACAAGCTGACATTTCCCTTCCTCAAACTTAGGCCCCCCAAAAAGACTAGGAAGACCAATTAATCAGTTTTTGCATACATATATCACAGATGGTTATCATGATGCAGGATGTGTAGGTAAAAGAGTATCTAGAAGTAACTCATTGTTTAAGTTCTTCCTTGTCTTGAATCCTATTGTAGGTCATTTCAAATATTACCTTCAGACTATGACAATTATACAATTTTTTAGTAGCACTATCAAACTGGCAAATAAGATTCCTGGGATCACTTTCCTAGAGTGCTGCTGTATATGTATGAGTGTGCAGTTGCTGGATATGGGTTGGATGTAAGCGAGCTACTTAGATCTTAGATGGTCCTGAATTGTATGGGTTGTTTTTTAACAAAAGTGTCTACTCTAGTGTCTGGTTGAGCTACCACCTGGACAGAGTGATTCGCTACTCAGAAGTAGTTGCTTGGAATGAACTTGGTTATGATTAGACCATGTCAAAGTTTCACCACTAATTCCAAAAATCTTTTTAGAGACAAGAGCAACTTGTATCAGTCAACCAATAAGGTAAAGCTGTCCAAGTGTATGTCCTTGTTTTCTTTGTCAGGGGTTCGGACGACAAGATGAAGGGATGGGTCGTTGTCGGACCGCAGCGGCTGTTTAGTACGATGAGCAACAACTTGAGTCAAAAGATCGTAATGGGATTTGTCAGCACGGACGAGCTGGTCAAAGAGCTAGCTGAAGCACGGCTGGTCGACAAACCTGTGCGCTTTCTTCTGCACTTCTTCCAAAGGTCGTGGGTAGTAGCTCTTGATTGGCCGGATCGTCTCAGGCTTTGCGTGGGGCTCAGGAGCAGGTACTTTCAATCTTAACGTCCCGATTGTCTCCTTTGTTACAACGGGTGACAGTGGAAGACTCGCTGGATGCACAGGGCCAACTGGCTTTCTAATAACAGTGCTCAGATTCTCAGACCGCCCCAAGTCCGCAACAGAGTCCAGACGCTCTTGGAGTGCTTGGTTATCCTGTTGAGACCAAAGCTTCCGTTCGCAGCCGTTGAGGGAGGATGAGGTTTGTAGGACCTCATTAATTTCAATCAACGGAGAAGATTGGTCTGGCTCCCCAACAGAGCCTTGATGATTGGTTGGAGCTTGCATGGGTTGACAGAAGTCTTTTGACTTTCTTCGGGCAGGCTGGAGGAGAAACTGCTGTAGCTGCACGTCAAGGCTATTCCTCTTCTTGCACTGGGTGGCACCAGATGAGGTCTCTTGGAGTAGATCACTTTTGTGGTTTGGATTTGTGCAATCGAGTTCGCTCGGGTTTGCAGGATTGGATGGCTCTGTGTTAGGAGAGTGCAAGAGGTGAGCACAAATTCTGGGTTGTTGTTGCTTGGCTAGCTGTGCTGGACCTCTGGCAGATAATCCTCCAAGTGTTCGGGCC